AAGGCTGTCAAACACCACAAAAATATAAAGACAACAATATTTTTTCAATAAATAATAAAAAGCATTTTTATATTACAACAATAAGATTGAAAGATGAAATGAATTATACCGAGTTGCAGAATTTAAAGTTGATGTTTCATACACAAAAATGTTTTTTTTATGGCAGGTAAAAGTGTGTTCAATGTGTATGGCACTAATATAGGATTTGTAATGAATAAATCAGTTCGGAGTCAAACAAACTGTTTTTAAACATCTTTTCAGTTAATAATTTCAATTTAAGAAAGCGGAAGGAGTTGTCTACCTTTATCTGTTAAATTGTTTCTTTTGAAAGTTTAAAAGATAAAATACTTTTCTTTTTTCTTTTCTTTTTTTTTTTTTTTTTTGAAATAAGATAATAGTTTAAAATTACTTGACGAAATTATATTCCAGTTGAAAGGAAAGTTGTCAAAGAAGAAAGTGTTGTTCTTACACAAAAGGTTCGTCGTAGATAATTCTTGAAAGTTTGTTGAGTGAGAAAAATACTTGAACATAAGTTGAATATCAAAAGTTGTGATTCGTGTTTAAAGAGAAACTTTTAAAAATGTTACACTTCTGAGTTGATTTGATATTATCGAGAATTCCTTGCCGAGCAGTCTGTTGAATAAAAATGTGCTGAGAGTGAGTTTTGAGGTCTGTGAGCTCTCAAGCTAAAAGTTGCAAGATAAGTTATCACTGATGGAAAATTCCAGGACTGGAAATAAATATGAAATAGTGAAAGAAAAATGCATTCGGCAGCGATGTACGTTGTAGTTAGATTCTCGTTGTCTCACGAGATTTATTTTGCAAAAATACAAAATTGTGGCACAAGGCCTAGAAGGTGGGAAGTTGAGATGAGGCTCGTCATCACTGCTGTCAGTCGACCCAGTACTTTCTGAGCGACTGTTCGGTTGTACTCTCTTCCTAAGGACGGGAGGAACCCGAAGGAGGCTACGCCGAAGGGCGGAGTCTCCATCGAGGAGGTAGACCGGCCCTGAACCCGTTTATACGGGTTCAATGGGCATATTTTTGGCCGAGCCCACGGGCTCGGAATGCCCACGTTAAAAAGGCCTTGTGCCACATGACACCCTCGTGGGGGGTTGACTGAATATCGTCATCACTGCTATCTTATGCCTAGCTAATCCGATTCGCGACCCATTCACTCGTTACAATTTACCACATTCACCAAAGGAACCTGTCCGTCATCTATCAAGCTTCCATTCCCTATGATACCTCATCATACACACAGGGGGGCTACAGAAACGCACCCCATGAGATTAAACTTTGAAAATACCATGATTTTTTTCCACAAAAATTTACGAATGATGACGGGGGGAAGATGATAAAAAAAAAACAAACGAAAATATAAAACAGACAAAATAAACAAAACTTATATCAGTTTGACCCGTCTACCCCTCAAAAAAAGAAAGGTCGCTGTATTCTGCCTTTTAGACAAATCAAGAGGTTCTTTCGGTAAGGGAGAGGGGAGAAAGGATAAAATAAATACGATCGTGAGGAGAGAAGAAAAAAGCTGATCTGGTCGAGGTGAAAAGAGGAGGGGCCAAAAACAAACTGGGGAGGCTGGGAATCTTGACATGAATCATAACAAATAATGCAGCTGGGAATAGCTCTTACTCTCATTAACTAGGCACACAAAAAGTGGTCTAACCTAACTAGGGGAGGGCTCCACAGAACATCGCACGGATGTGAGAAAATGATGAGATCCGCTCGCGTTGCTGTATTTATTTTGTTTTAGTCATATGACCGGCTCCAAAACTCGTTCAAAAACTTTTGGCGGCAAACGAGATTGCGTAGGCGTTTGTATACAGTTTTACATTTAACAAACAATCAGCAATCAAACTTAAAAATCTCTCTAATCCACTTTTTTTCACAACTATTACATAGAAAATGCATTGAATCTTTTTCGACCAATAGCATTCGCTGAACCGAAAATAATAATAATATAATACAATCAAGTGGAAGCAAAATGCTAAAAAATTAATTAAATAATCAAAAAATACTTTGATCCTTCCTCTTAATAATAACATAACGATTTGGACGATAAAATTATTTTCATGACGTTTGAAGCAGTTTTTCATCACGGTATGCCTATTTTTTAGCGATTTCGTGGAGGTGTCTAAATGAATATGAGTGTAGTTTTTACTTTTTAATGTTCATTTTTTAATCTCACTTTCAGTTTTAAAGACTGTCCTGCACTGTAAAATAAGATGTTTAACATGAACTATAGAATGATTAAATTGAAAACATTGACAAAAGGCAAGAAGAAGAAAAAAATTGACTTTTAAGAATTTAGCATTCCGCTACAACTTTTTTTTTTTTTTATCTATGTTGATTTCTGTGCAAAAAGCGGATCACAGAACTTATCCAGTTTCATACATATTTTCAGAAAACCTCAACTTCTGACTGGTCACTTAATATTTAAATCATGTTCTCAACTACGTCCGAATAACATCGACCCAGTTCTTGACCTGACTAAAAAATAATTCCGCCCGAAATCTATCAAAGCCTTTCAAGCCTCTCACGTGATTAAGTTGATTATATCGGCACATCCCTCCTACCATGGTCAATTCGTTTGCCGAAGCTACCTTCCATCAGTGTAGACTCGGTCTTAGCCCAACTTTCTGACCTCAGAGAGCAACAAGCATTTTCGTCACGAACCTCAGTATCGAACGGACCTGCCTAAACAAGTAAGTTAGAAATCCACAAGCTTCCACACGTGGTACCTATACTTTCTGGATCTCTCCCTCTTTTTCGTCTATACTTCTTACAGGCAACTTTTGCAACTCAGTAATCTTGGTAATTTTCCTCGGTCGAAATCTCACCACCGACCGAATTAGTTCTGTCACTAAGTTGCTTCTGATCTTTCCTTTTCTACTAAAAAAAAGGACATTGTTAGATAAAGTTGCCTCCCTTATACTGTTTATTCAAAAAAAAAATAAAATAAAAGAAGAAAACTTTCCATTTCTCCACGTTTTGGACTATTTCTTCTCCAAGGACACTATTACTACGTTTTGGCGCGCAACAGCCTCCGACCATTAACGTCAGCCTCACATTGTGCAGATTTGGTTGAACCGCTTTTCCAGAGACCAAGAACTCTACTGTTTGTATTCCCTCCTCTACTGCACCCTGCCAAATTCGTTGTTGAAAAAAATAAATTTACAATAAACCCTTTATTTTGCTCATTGGGGTAGGCTGTTCTAGTTCCATGTGCCATGTCTAATGGATGTCAGTTATCTCCAGTTAATTACCTTCTCAAAATTCTCCACCGCCTTAACCAAGAATTGAATTGAACTCACACTTTTGTTTGAGTCGTCACTGGATCTAACGCCTATCCATTGTGCCATGTGTTTTTGTAATAAATATGGCTGAGGACAATAGTCCGAATAATGTAAAGAGTCTTTCAGTGTAATAATAATTTGAGCTTCATTATTATTTTACCTTAACAGAGGAAGGCCCGAGAGTATAGCAGCCGAAAAAAAAGGGATGATTAAAAAACAAGATGATAAAAAAAAGAGTTTGACATTTAAAGAGAGAAATAAATAATTCATTGATTTCTTTTAAACACTTACTTTAACAATAAAAAAAAATCACTCAAGTAGTGCGACTGTAAAGAAAAAAATAATAATAATTTCTCCTTTCGTCTGATGTAAACGAAAGCATGTTTATTATTTATTTACCATTTCATGTGTCCATGACCTCTTGGATGAGTGAAGTTGACCTTTGATGCGTGACGACCCGGAAGTATTTCCCCCTGATTATCACTCTTACCACCACCACGACTACTGCTGCTGCTACTACTACTCGGGACTGCAGACTGGTGTTGAGACTAAAACATTACAAGTTTATTCGTTGTTGACAGGATTATTACTGCTTCGAGAGCAAATCCACTTGCACGATCTTCTTCATTTTCTGCAAAGTTTAAGAACGACTAAAAAAATAACTGATATTAGAAACATTTACGAATAATTTTTCAATCTTTTTCATTTTTTTTTAATTATAAACAAAAATAGGAAAAAAAAACCTTCGAATTAGTTTTTTTTAGTTTGTACTTTTTTATGACCAATCAATTGGTAAATAAAAATAAAATAAATATTATTAATTATTCTCAATTTAATCTTATTCTTAACTTAATGAATTAATTGTTAATTGTTAATGATTTTTTTACTTTTTCGCTCGAAACTTGGAAAATGTTTATTAATCAACCCAAGAAGAAAAAAGAAAAACACATGCTGCTTCTTGCATTTTCTGTTAAAATGCAAAAAAGATCATAAAAAATTAATTTGATTTTTTTATTATGAAAAACAAAAAAAAAGAAAATCCTCCAAAAAAATAAACCTTGAAAGAAAATAAATTGAAGAGGCGATAATGTTGGATGAAAAGTAACGAAGGACAATTAATGAAGAAATGTGAATGATTTGAATATTATTGTATCAACAGAAGAAAGATTTTTAAAAAAATGTCACTAATTAAATAATAAACTACTAAATATAAAATAAATTTGATGTTTCTGAACCCTTCTTCATTCACATGACGAAAAAACAAACCTAATAATGATGATGAAAAATTCGAGTAATAATTCAAATTGTGATGAAAAATCAAAAGCGAACAGGAAATATTTTCGACAACCTGTTTCTTTGAATGATGATGATGTTGATGTTGTTGATGGCCTGCCTAGGGAATTGATTTACACCAATTTGGATGTCTTCATCGCCCTCGTCACGATCGTATGTTTTTATGCAGATTTCATCTCTGACATTGCACTTGCCTTCAGATATTATTTTCATGCTAAATATTTGTGGTTTAGTTTGACTTTAGCCTTTGTGGCTATTCCGTCCATCAGTAATTCCATTCTAAACTTTTATTTCTATTACCAAGATTACAAAAGAGAATGTCAACAAAAAGATCCAAGACTAAAATCACCGCATGGAATGTGGCTCTTTCGATTCGGATTAACCATTTTACAAATGGGACCCGTTTGCAGGTAAGAAGATAAAGACCTCCTCCTCGAAATAACAGTTTTCCTATAAAAAGTCACAATTTTTATGTCTACAAAGAGCCAAAAACAAATTATTCATCATTAGATCTTTACAATCTTTTTTTCATTTTCTTTTTTGTTGTACATTGTGATAAGAAGCTTCTTATTTCATTAGCCAAGTAATTGGGTAGTCTGTCCAAATTTTACTTTTAGTTTTACTAAACCATAATTATAAATTCCAGTGAATTAGTTTAACCAATCCTGGAAATAGAATTTTTTTCTATTCACTTTTCAGAGGAAATAACATTTTTGCTTTATATGAAAATTCTTTATTATACAGTGTAACCCGGATATAAGAGAGTTGTCGGGACCGGAGAAGAAGTCTCTTATATCCAGGTTTCTCTTATATCCGGGTTTCTCTTATATCCGGGTTTCTCTTATATCCGGGTTTGGTCTATTTTATATACATTAACACAGGCTCTAATTTGGGACCAGAGAAAATCTCTCTTATATCCGGGTTACACTGTATGCTTCTTTTAACTTGATTCTTAATGACTTGGCCATTTTATTAACTAAACCATATTATAGTTACTTTACTGTAAATGGAACAGAGATGCCAACACAAAGTAACATCATTGCTGCAAACTTGCTGTGGGACTGGAACAGCAACAACTACTACATTATCAATAGTAGCTAGAACAGGGGGGGGGATTGAAGTGATCGAAAAACTAACCCGTCAGAAATTCTCAAATCATTTTTATATCCATTTCCCCTTTTGAGAGATATGTTTGTTTCTAATTTTCATGGTGTCTTTCCTAAATAAAAGGATGACATCTGTATGATGTGTGAACCTTTTTCATTGCAACCGACAGTCAGCTACAAGGTTCCATTGTGTGAACCTTTTTCATTGCAACCGACAGTCAGTTACAAGGTTCCATTGTGTAGACCTTTTTCATTGCGACCGGCACCATTGCAGCTCTGTTATCTTAAGTTCTTGGAGTCACTGAAAGTTTTTCCAGATTTAACCAAACCCTTTCATTATATAGAAATGATTAAACATCATGTTTAATATGTAAAATCTACAGTACAGCTGGTGCATTCAAAACCATATCATTCAGACCCCACAAAATTTAAAATTGTAAAGTAGCAATTTTAACATGTTATGACAGGACATACTGTATATACTCAAGTATAGTGCAAGTTTTTATGATCATTTTTTTATGCAAGAAATAGGTGGTTACACAGGTAATTCTTTTGAAGATGTTAAAAATCATGCATTTTCAGTGACCAATTGCACTATACACAGGTAATTCTATTAGTGTATTGTAAGAAATAACTTAAAAGTACTCAAAATATATTTTACAAAAATATTTTCTTGGATAATACAGTGACTCAGCTTGACTTGATAGCTGTACACTTAACTATTGTTTGACTTTCTATCGATGATACTAGTATAACTAGTACTAGTATAACTAGTACTAGTATAACTAGTACTAGTATAACCTTTTTTTTAACCTCTTCTGGCTCAGAAAACATAACAATAGTGTTTCTTTTTCATTTGATATTTTAAAGATAAGCTAGTTTGGCAAATGATTAATGTAGTTGTTTAAGACTTCATTTGTCTTATCTCTATTTTGGCCTTGTGCCATACTTAAGGAAACTTATACTCTGAATTCAATATGTGGAGAAGGCAACGGGAAACCACTCCAGTAGCTTTCCCAAGAAGTCATAGCAATTAACAGCTAATAAAAAAAGGAATTTGTGGTGATTCATGATCTCCAACATCATGAAGGTTCATGGCATTAAAAAAAAAGAAGCATTATGCTAATATGTAAAAGAAAATGATATATAGGGTATATTTGGGCAACAATTTTGGTGAAAGATCAACAAAAGTTCTTAATATATAACATTTATATAATGATAATAAATACTTTGTTTTTTTTAATAGTGCTTACTATCAGATATTGAGCCACTATGATCTGCCCTGTTGAATGGAAAATGTCAAAAAAGGCAAAAACATTTGGAACTGGTTACAAGAAGTGTGGATTGTGCTTAGAAAAAGAGAAATTGAAGATTATTACTTTTCCTAATCAAGACAACCTCTTTAATAGCCGATCATGTAGGCATGAGAACAAGTAATTCCTGTGGAAGCATCTGATAAAATGGAATGGTGTTGTATTTGTTAGGCACTGACCAACTATTACTGTGATGGTTGTTGTAGTCTGTATCTACAAATTAAATGGATTTATTGGACTGTTTTATTCTGTCATCTAATTATTGAGTTTATTGTGAAACTGACATTAATGTCTGAAACCTTGTAATTTTGTAAAGAACAGAATTTTTAAATGTTTGGACAACTTGTATTTAAATATTTACTGGAAACCAGGAAAATGATCTGAAATATAGAAATAGCAAATAAAATAATTCTTAAAGAAAACTTGTGTGTATATATAAAGCTGACAGTTTAGATATTTCTGATCAAGTTTGGTGCCATGCATAACATTCAATTGAAAGTCTTCATCTGGTAAGACTATTTAAGAACGTTACTTTAGTTTTTAGGTTAATATTCTGGTGTTGTGTGAAACTAAACTCTATTCTATATTCAACTCACTTATTTCCTATACTAATTTTTTTATAACTGATCGATAATATTTGAAGTGTTTGGCATTTACTGAGGTATTTGAAGTGTTTAGGATTTACTGGGAGTATTTGAAGTGTTTAGTATTTACTCAGGGTATTTGAAGTGTTTAGGATTTACTGGGGGTGTTTGAAGTGTTTGACATTTACTTGGGGTATTTGAAGTGTTTGGCATTTACTTGGGGTATTTGAAGTGTTTGGCATTTACTGAGGTATTTGAAGTGTTTAGGATTTACTGGGGGGGTATTTAAAGTGTTTGGCATTTTCTTGGGGTATTTGAAGTGTTTGGCATTTACTGAGGTATTTGAAGTATTTAAGATTTACTAATTCTACATGAACATGTGTGGATAAAGAAAGAGAAGTGGAGATCTGTTTGATATAACAATATTATACCAAATAATTGACAGGAATATAATAAAATGGGTACATGTAGTAATCACTGAATCACCCTGGATGCAGAGATATTACAACCAGAAAAGCCTAAGTATAATAAAAATAAACAGATTTTAATATTAAACAACTCAACAAGGATTGATTGATGTCATAAAATTCATCAATTCAACCCAAATAAAGAAAACATTTAAAATGGTAATGTCTCACTGAAAATTCTTATATTTGCTTTTCAAAACTAATGTTCACCCTATACAAGGCCCAAGGGCCACTTAAGGTAGAAGATTACTGAAAGTGGTTGTTGTGTGAGCAGTAACAGTAAGAGACACAATTATGTAATTATGTGTGGAAGATAATGATTAACCCTAAACTTGAAAAGGTTAAGGGAATGAGAATGTTTTATCTGAATGTTTGTGTTGTGGTGGTTCTTAGCTGGGAGAGTTAGAATTGTGGGAACTAAGGAATTTCTGTTGCTTGTGTCATGAATTCAACCATTGGAATGAATAACTTTTGGCTAATATCCATTCCTTCTTTCCTTTAGGTTGTTATTACATGTTTTAACTACTGAGCTACACTTTTAGATATTTACTTGCATTATTTACATTACTCGGACTGTTATCTCATTTTCATTGCCATATTTACAACGTTTCGGCCATTGTATGCTCCGGCCTTCTTCAGGTGGTTGAAATTTCGAACCAAACCCTTTATTTCGTCCACCGGAGTAGATTGTTCTAGTTCCACATGCCATGTCTCTTCCGGAGCATACAACAGCTTAAACATTGTGAATATGGCAATGAAGATGAGGATAACAGTCCAAGTAATGTAAATAATCCTAGTAATCATAATACCTCATCTCAGAGATATAGACAGATATAGAGAAAGAGATAAACATAAAGGCTGGAGCATACAACGACCAAAACGTTGTGAATATGGCAATGAAGATGAGGATAACAGTTCGAATAATGTAAACAATGCAGGTATTCATAATACCTTACCTGAGACAGATATTTTAGATATTTTGGTAAATTTATGAAGACCACTCTTTCTAAGTCGAGATTGAATTTTGGTCTCTAGAATGTGTTGTTTTAAGCACTGAGCCTAATCAACAAATTCAAGTTTAATACTTTGTCTACTTTTAATTAGTGAAGCAATTAAGCCTGCCAACTGTTTTAACAACATGGGATTTATTTCCAGCCTGCCAAAAATTCTTGTCAAGGTGTTTTATAAATTCAGGTCAACTCACTGAAAGAAGACATGAAATGATATGTGTGTGTGTATGATAAATATGATTTATTATCTGTCACTTAAAATGTATTAATCTTAAATAATTAGTATAGTAGAATGGATAAGACAAATTTTGATTGGTGTATTTAAAAATAAGTCTCAAAAGCTGTGCTACAACATATTATTAGTGAGCTGCGAAATATTGTCACAGTGCATACATATGCAGGGCGCGATGGGTAAATTGTCGCCATTTTATATTTTAAATTTTGCACATGCGTGTTGTTTTTTTTTTTATTTTGTCAACAGTAGAGTATAGTAGGGTCAGTTGGGTGCCCTCTGAGTAAAAGAACACCATGATGCAATTCACTCTGCCAAAAATTTTGAAACAGCATGCTGTACCGCTTAACATTTATGCTAGAAGCTCCAATACAAACATTTCAGCGTGTTTGGGTATTAATCAGATGACAATGGAGAGGATTTGGAAAGAGTTGGATGAGTCTAATGGTGATTATGAAGGCACAGCAGCTTGGAAAACTCTGATCATTCTGATAAGAAAAGAACTCCTAAATTTATTGGTGAGGCCTCAAACTCAACACAGAGGCCTGCATCAAGTGCCTTGAGGGGGTAGTGTTGCTCTGGGGCAAGAGGGTGGCTGCTGGAAGGATCTGTATCTAGCAACAGGACTCTTTCACCATGCCACAAAAGCAAGAGAATCCAGTCATGGCTATCAGACAATTTCTACGACCATGTTACCC